ATATCTTTCTTTTCTTTTTCTTCTTTTCTTTTATTAAATACCTTTCTTTACTTTCTCAAATCTCTTCCCTTGTTTATTTATTTATTTATTTATTTATTTATTTTTCCTTCTTTTCTTTTTCTTTTCTTTCTTTTTTTTTTTTTTTTTTTTGTTTCTTTCTTTTTTGTTTTTCTTTTTTCTTTCTTTCTTATCCAAATATATTTCCTTTTCTTCTTTTCTCTTTCTTCATGTTTCTTTGATAACCGCCTTTTCATTACTTTCTTTTGCAATTTAATTATTTTTCTTCTTTCATTATTTCTCTCTCCTTTTATTCTTCATTTCTCTTCCTTCCTCTCTCCCTCTCCCTCTCTCTTTTAATGTATTTTGTAATCCACCTGTTTCCTTTGAGACGTTTTGCGTCGTTCGTTGAACTGAAGTCTGTCCATAGATTATTGTCTTTACAACACACACATTTTCTTTTCATTCGCATTTCGTTCTTTCTTCAACTTTTTCTTCCCCTTTTCTTCTTCATCTCTCTCTTTTCATTCAGTCCATAACATCTCCAGTTTCTTTTCTTCCTGTGTCTTTTTTCTCTTCTACATTTTTAATCATTTGTCTTTTCTTTTGTTTTCTCCATCTTAACTTTTATTTTCCTTCATTTTCCCTTTTTCTAACTTTTTCCTCTCTTTGACTTATACTCCTTTTTCGTTCATTTCATGTTTTCTTTTGTTCATATATTGTTCTATTCTCCGACCATTTCTACTTCTTTTTTCTTCTTTCCTCTTTTTGATTATTTCTTTTTCCTCTCTTTTTCTACTTCCTTTTTCTTTTCTTTTTTTCGCCTTTCAGTTGTCATTATACTTTTAATTTTCTTCTTCTTTCTCTACTTCCTGAACGGATATTTTTTCTTTATTTATTTCTAGTTACATTCTTTCTTTCTTTCTTTCTTTCTTTCTTTCTTTCTTTCTTTCTTTCTTTCTTCTTCTTCTTCTTCTTCTTCTTCTTCTTCTTCTTCTCACCTTCTTCTTCTTCTTCTTCTTTTTCTTCTTTAAAAATTTTGTTTGCGTTGATTTTATTCTTCTGACTCATTTTGTTTTTCTTCTTCTTTTTCTTCTTCTCTACAAATTCTTTTTGCCTTGCTTTTATTCTTCTGACCCATTTTCTTCTTCTTATTATTATTATTCTTTAAAAATTCTCTTTGCCTTGCTTTTATTTTTCTGTCACATTTTGTTTTTCTTCTCCTTCCTTTTCTTTTTCTTCTTCTCTCCCTTCTTTTTCTTCTTCTTCTTCTTCTTCTTCTTCTTCTTCTTCTTCTCTCTTTTTTATTTCTCCTTCTCTCTTTTTCTTCTCTTTGCCTTGATTTTATTCTTCTGACCTATTTTGCTTTTTCTTTTCTTCTTTCATTCCTTTTTGCTTTCTTTCAATTCCTCTTTTGTTTTTTTTTTTTTTATATATATATATATATATATATATATATATATATATATCAAGTCAACTCTTTCCTATTACCAACAGCCGGCATATATTTCACCCACATCACCTCCTCCTCCAGCATATGCCGTCTTTGTGGCGTATAATGCCCCCGCTTTCTCCTCCTCCTCCTCCTCCTTCTTCTTCTTCTTCTTCTTCTTCTTCTTCTTCTTCTTCTTCTTCTTCTTCTTCTTCTTCTTCAATATTATCTCTGTTTATCGCCCGATCTAATCTCTTCCTTCATCTTTCATTGCTTCATCACGTGCACCTGTTAGTTTATACGGAATAAATCTCCCCCCCTCCAACACCTTGCTTTCACCTCGATTTTTCCCACCTTCCCATTCTTTAATGAAAGACGAAAAGAAAGATGGATAAATAGATTCAGATTATATATGCAGATTACACAAGCACACGGACCCCAACACGCATGCACACACACACACACATATATATATATTCATGCATATATATTTAGATGATATGTGCAGATTACACATGTTTAAACGTATACATCCATTACACATACAAACATGCAACCAACATGTGAATATATGTGTATAAAAAATATAATGTATATAAGTGTGTGTGCGCGAGTGTTTTTTTAATCGTGGCTACATCAGTAAGTGCGTAGCGTGAAAAGACGTTATGACGTGTATTTTAAACGGAAAGTTTTACTGTATAATGATATCTCGATGGGATTGAGAAGAGAGGAGATTATGTTCAGAAATAACCAATTGACTGTAGCATTTTCCCGTATTTCTCAAACTTCTTGAAACGTAAGTGATTGCTTTCAATGTACCGTCTTCGGATTTATGACCTCTTACCGTACCTATGCCGTCTTCGCTCGCGTCTGACGCTATTATTATCTCTCACTGCAGGTCGGAAAGTATCAGCGATAACTCTGAAATTATCAGTTTTTAATTTCTTCAAAAGCTTTTTGACATTCTACTGACCAATTCCATTTCGTACCCTTCTTAAGTAAATCATTCAGAGGTGTTCGTAATTTTTACATCTCTGACACATAAATATAATAATTCGATAACCCGATAAATTATTGTAGGGTTAGCAAATTTCAGTATCTGTCTATATTTCTGAGATGAAGTATTTACATTATTCGAACTATTGTTCTCATCTTTGTCGCCATGTTTATCACAACGTTTCGGCCGTTGTACGCTCCGGCCTTCTTCAGTTGGTTGGAATGTCGAATATTCTCCTAACCGACCAAGCATATAAATGAATACAATATGGGAACCAGTAATAAGGAGTGCCAGAGAAAAGCCATAAAACAACAAAAATTGCAATATGAGCTCTGGTAAAAAACATAAATGATAACAGCAAAATTTGAAATATGTGCCCTGGAAAAAATGATTTCTGAAATCATTAGGTTTATAATATCCAGAAATTCATACACAGATGTCCTCAAGGACACATGGCACAGTAGATAAAGCCGTTAGTTAGATCCAGTGACAGGACCCAAAGAGTGTGAGTTCAATACCCGGTTAAGGCATTGAGGAACTTTCAGAGGGGAATTAACAGGAGATAATTGACATCCATTAGACATAGCACGTGGAACTAGAACAGTCTACCCAAATGAGCGAAATAAAGGGTTCAGTTCAACATTCCAACCACCTGAAGAAGGCCGGAGCGTACAATGGGCAAAACATTGTGATAAGCATGGCGTCAAAAATGAGGACAATAGTCTGAATAATGTAAACAGTTAGCAAATTTGTTGAGGAAATCCTGTCTTTAATGACACTTGCTCGAGCGAGATCCGGTCTTTTTTTGTCGATTATCTGACATAAATATTTAATCTTGACCATTATGTTTACTGAATTTAAGACTGTAATCATATAGTCTCTGAAATATTTCATGAATCAGTTTTACATTCTGTATTTTTGTGGCATTCTTAACAAGGATATAATCCATGTAAGCGACTACACTGTTTAGTCCAGCCAACATCGTATCCATTATTTGCTGGAAAATACCTAGGGATACACCAAATTTTAATCTTTTAAACTTGTAGAGTCCTTTATTATCAGCGATACTGTCTTCTTATTCCCGGCAGTAATTTGTCAAAAATAGATCTAACTTTTCTAGCAAACATGAGCTCTACAGATGACATTTTTGCGGTGACGTTTGCATTTGACGTCATTCGATACATGCTCAAAATTTCTTATATTGCCGTTACTCTTCAGCTTCTAAGCCTTTAGCCTTTTTTTAATATCCTTTTGAAGGCGTCAACAAATCGTTCCGCTTGACCATTCAACTTCGGATGTAAATCAGCGTTTTCATATGTTCAGTGGTGTGGCTTTTGCATAAATTTTTCAACACGAGAAGTAAATTGAATTCTATTATAGGATACTACACTGTCACACCGTGATCATGTAATCTCTGAAATACTTCATGAATCAGTTTTACATGCTGTATTTTTGTAGCAATCTTAACAAATATATAATCTATGTAAACGACTACACAGAAAAACAGAATAAAAAAAGAATGTTAACAACAAATAATTTTCACACCCAACCCAGTTCTGCGGAATCAGAATCAACGTTGAGTTTAAGCAAGCGAATGAGCCAATTGGAGAAAGTGCCATGCATATTTAATTTTTCCCGCTTGTGACGAATGCAGCCTACGATTTTTTGGATGCTAGCATGCTAGTTAACATTCGTGTCAGTCAGCTGTTGGCTCTCACGCTGGCCAATAGAATCTTCCTGCCTATTCGTCAGTACAAAACGGCCGCAAACTACATGAAAACTGCCGTAGAAGCATGAAAAAATCGATTATTTCCACGATCGATGTGAGTTGGAAAATGCAAGGTCGGTCTTGGCCTTCCCGCTAACCTGGAACATGTGCATGTAAATTTTGGTGAAAATCCGTCGAAAATTGTGGCCGTGCATTCGTTACACACACACACACACACACACACACACACACACACACACACATCCTGCCTTTTATAGACAGATTTATATATATATATATATATATATATATCTATTTAATGCATTCTACATTTATGGGTTAATATCAATGATATAGCGTATGTAAATATAAAATACCCTTTACGAGTGCGTTTAAGGATGATTGTAGCCGATGGGTGTTATATATATATATATATATATATATATATATATATATATATATATATATATATATATATATAAATTGTGTGTATTTAGGCAATTTTTTTCTTTAATATATGTTTCATTAAATAACATGACAAGTTTTGGCTATTTATTTTAAGTAAGTTCCTTTCATATTGTCAGATAAGCTTAATAACATTGTCATCGAAAGACGAAAAGGAAATCACCATATTTTTAGGCATTTCAAACAACATGCCTGGCCGCATACACAATTCAGGAAAATCCTTGTTGAAAACACAATTATACTTGAACATGAAAACAATAAGCAAAAACTAAAAATTCTTGAAGCTATATACGTAAAACATTTGAAACCTAACCTGAACAAAATAAACTATGAAATCTCCACAAATATTCTTAAATGCCTATAACTGATGATAGAAGTCATTGGTTTTTACCAACAGCTTT